TCATTTCCATCTCAAATAATATAAAAAGACACTCTAAAAAGTTTAATGTCTCGATGGTGTCTGAAGATAAATTAAATGAATTTATTAACATAATTTTTTATCTTAGTGTTTAATTGTTATAGTTTCTTTCTGTTTTTGTAAGTCTCGTGACTCTAGTTAATTAAAAACCTAGTATTTATATATTTGGACCTAATATGTGTTAATTAAACAAAAATTAAGACCATAATAATTTTAACCAAAAAAAAGAGAGTCATAGGCAAGCGCTTCTATTTTGCCTTCATAGGCACGGCTCTGCATAGACTCATCACCAGAACTTCTATCTAAATTCAATTATTCTAAGTCACATGCATCGATAATATGATTCCCTTTGGCCATATCAGCATTTGCAGCATCACTGTCATCTCTACCTCCAACAGATATCTTCTGCTCAAGTGGTTCCTCGACATCCATTGGATGCGATTTGCCAACGACTTTTGATGGCTCTTGGAACTAGGATCGATCCTGAGTATTGGACTGCTTAAAGCCCAAAATTTGTTTGATGCCCCATTATAAACACAAATAAAAAAAATTACTTATATTTCATAACTTGAGATTTGGATTCATCACCTGTTGCCAACTCTTTTCGTGTTTTACCACTAGGCTACAAGAAAATTTTAGAAAAATGATGCCCTTAAAATAAATATGTTATATTGATGCCTAACGCCAAATGCGTCACCGGCGTTAGGTCAGAGCCAGCACTGAACTTACTAACATTTTGTTCTAATTTGACATTATCAACAATTTTGTTATGCTTTAGTTTTATATTTTCATTATTTTACACATAATCAGTAGAAATACAATTATATTTCACATCAAACCCTATAATGGGGATGACCTCAGATACCTAGTTGTACATAGTAGAGTTTTCAACCACTGCCTTTGTCGGTTAGGCCTTACATTAACTTATTATAGGAAATAGATAACAGGTAATACGGTTATGATCTCAGGCAAGGAACCGTAATGGTTCCCAACAACAACAGAAGAAGCAGAACCACCAAAAGATCCGAGAAACTCGTTGGTTTCCTGAACATATATGAAAGGTTAGTGATGATTCACTTGTTGGATCTCAACATAAACCACCTGAGAAAGAGAAGGTGGCGCCTCTATCCTTGGACGCTTGGCTTTACGACAGCTTCCACCGATCGGTATATTCCTCAAAGCCCCACCTTGAGTCCAGTATCGACGACAATTCTTGCAGAAGTAGCGTGGTTGAGACACGCTATAATTGTTGTAGTAACAGAACTTGGTGTTTTCAGAGGTGCACCTTGGACATACTCGCGGTGGAGGCTTCTCTCCATTCACTTGATTGTCTTCCTTCGCGTCAACATTTGGGTTTTCCATATTTTCTCTCGAGAGGTACTTGATTATAAGATTTGGTTGTTGTTATTATGATCTTTGGTGTTGTGAGGGTGACTTCTTATATAAGTTTTTGGGGCGTAGAAATTTAAGAAGAGTGAGACTATGATCGAAACGTGTCAAAGATTGTGAATTAATAAAATCTGAATATCAATCTTCACACCATTAAACTTAGGCTAAACTTAGTCTTAACTCTTGTCTCTTTATGAAAAATGGAGAATCAAGAAGATATGATTTAATGAGTTAGTCATATAAACATAAACAAAATCTAGGGACATTGAGAGCAAAATGAAAATTTAAGGCAAAACAAGCATAGATTACACGTATTTACTATGAGAAAGAGTTTGAAAGCACGTGGGCTGACAGACGCTCTCATAAAACGTCAGATAAGTATTCTCTAGAAAGATATTATATGATTTGTCAAAAATATGGAAGATTTTGTAGACATCACCAGCCAATGTCAAGAAGACAATAAATTCAACAATGACACGAAATTTTTGATTTATATCAAAATTAACCTAATTTTCGAAACCGACAAAACACCTAGATAAATAACCTTATTATGGCTTTTATATTTGATTTGTTGTGAGATAGTAAAAGATAATGTGTGTAAGCGCGTGCATAATCACGCGTTTTCTCATTGGCGCAACAAGATAAATGTATCAGGATTTTGTTAGGATTTTCTTATATTTAAGATTGATACAACTGGTGAGAGTAGAAATGGTTAAGTAGACAAAAAAATTCAATACCTAAAAGACAAGACTCAACAAAAACATAAAATTTTATATCAAATAACCATTTATATCAAATTTAAAGAACTCTAATTGAGATTTAATAGAAATTTGCTTTGAGAAAGGAAGAAAATGTGTGAGCGTGTGGGTTCACAGGTGTTTTTTTGTGGCGCACGATAGAAGTTAATAACAAAAAATCTATGTATATGGTTTTTCACATTTGAATTAATGTAACACAAATGGTGAGAATCGAAAGGCAATCCGTAATAGTAGAGAGCAACGAATACCAAGAAGACAAGGGACTCGAGCACTACAAAAAGGTCTCCCTACGAAGTAAACTATTTTCAAGACCAAACTAAACACTTAGATATATTTAGTAGGGATTTAACACCAATTATTAAGTAATCTATTTTTTTTTCACAACGGATAAAGAAGGTTTCTCAAAGCGACAAATGTATAAGATTTCCCATTTTTTATTTTGCTAAAGGGCTATAA